GATAGTACAATGATGATGATAAAACAATGGATGGATGGATGAATGCATGGATGGATAAATAGTACAATGATGATAATAGAACGATGGATGGATGGATGGATGCATGCATGGATGGATGGACAGTACAATGATAATAATAGAACAATGGATGGATGGATGGATAGTACAATGATGACAATAGAACAATGGATGGATGCATTGATGGATGGATGGTTGGATGGATGCATGCATGCATTGATGGACAGTACAATGATAATAATAGAACAATGGATGGATGGATGGACGGATGGATGAAGGCATGCATGCATGGATGGATAGTATAATGATGATACGGTAATAGAACTATGGATGGATGGATGCATGCATGCATGAATGGATAGTGCAATGATAGTAATAGAACAATGGACGGATGGATGGATGGATGAAACAATAGATGGATGGATAGGTTATCAAATGGATGGATGGATGAATGGATGCATAGTACAATGATGATGATAATAGAACAATGGATGGATGGATGGTTAAAATATTAGATGGATGGATAGGTTGACAAATGGATGGATGCATGCATAGTACAATGATGATGATAACAAAACAATGGATGGATGGATGGATGGATGGATGCATGGATGGATAGTACGATGATGATGACAGAACGATGGATGCATGGCTGGATGGATGGATGGATGGATAGGTGGATAAATAGATGCATAGATGAACAACAAATAGATGGATGCATATGTGGATAGAACGATGGATGAAAGCATAGAACAATGGATGGTTGAATGGATAAATAGATGCATGAATGAACAATAGATGGATGGATGGATAAGCTGATGAATAGATAGGTGGGTGCATGGATGGATGGATGGATAGAACAATGGATGAATGGTTGATGGATAAAAGGATAAAGTATAGATGGATCAATAGATTGGTGTTTGGATGAATGGATGGATGGATGGATAGATGGATGCTGTTGACATAGGCAGCTCACAGGTTTTAAAACACCGCTATCAATCAAACATTCTGACATGTAGTTTATGTTTTTTGGTTGTAGCACCACCGAATATTACCCTGCAGTCTAGTGTTGAATGGGACAGTGGCATTGCTTACACATCACTGGTGTGTTCAGTGCAGAGCCAGACCCCAGCAGCGGCCATCACCTGGGCTGTAGAGTGCCATGGCATTGATATTAGCTCTAGTGAACTTGTAATGACTCAACCTGAGCTTCAGCAGAGTCATATGGTTGTCGCTCAGAGTGTGGCACGTATTCCTATTTACTCACATGCCGGATGCACCGTGACCTGTGTGGTTGAGCATCGAGGGTTAGAGAAACCAGAGAACAAGAGCATCGTCCTCCCATCCTTAGGTAAGTTTTACTATTACATTAACCCCAAAAGTAGTTTGACGCTTGAGCCAGACTTAGAAATGAATGAACGGAAGCTAAATGTCAGTCCATTTATACATTTTAAACGACCTAATTATCACTGTGAAACTGCTATGCTTCTTATCGCTTGAATTTAAAGAAATAATCTGCATTCAATATAAATTAAATTTAACCCTAAAATGACCACTACAAAATCGACACATCAAGTAATGAAAATCTCTTTGCTTTTAGGGCCGTCTGTAAGCCGTGCGTTTCTGGGTGAAGAGAGTTACACTCTTATTTGTCGTGCTGTGTGTGAGTACAGCGGCGATGGGGTGAAACCCAATATCTCCTGGGTCTTTCCCGATGAAGACACTGTAATACTGGTGACTACTGAATCCAGATATGATGGAATTAAAGTAGAAGTCAGTTTAACTCATGAATTTCAACTCAGTCAGTATGAGGGAAAAGATTTGATATGTCTGATCCAGAACAAGCTCGGCAAGGATGAAAGACAGACAATACATGTTCCAAAATACTGTAAGCTTTTCTCAACCCTAAAATATTGACTGGCATGATTTCTAGTTATTCATTCAGTAAACGTAATCTGCTTTTTCTTTCACTTAGCTATCTCATCTATTGAGGTTTTAAACAAAACCACACTTGATCGTAGAAGTCATGGCCAGAATGAGCATCGTTTAGCACTGCAAGAAAACCTCTCGAATCAGAAGATACTTCTCAGAGCCCACGGCAATGTTCCGTCGTACAAGACAACATGTTACAGGTATGTTGAATCATGCATGCTTAAATATGGCACGACATACACAAGAATTCAAAGTTACAGAAAAACGTTGTGACCGTATCACGGCCTGTTATACAGTTCCACAGCACTCTCAAAGCCTAAATGCAGCACACTGATTTTTCTTTCATTTCAGACACCCAAAGGGATAAATAGAAAAGACAAGGGCTAGCTAAAGTTTTCACATTAATTTTTTTACTGCATCAGGCTGTGAAGTTCTGGATTCTTTTTGCTTGACAATAAATGCGGCAACATTTCTCATTTTTGTTTAGTTTAACTTGAAGTACTAAAATAACTAAAGCTAAATTAACTAAAACTAATTTTTAAAAAATATAGACATATTAAATACTAATAAAAAAGACAAAAGCACAACAAAACTACTAAAAGTGAAAACAGAAAATATGAAAATATTTAAAATAATAACAAAAACTGTAATAGCTATAATTATGCTGCTTAACCCAGTAAATAGTCCAGTAGATCCCTTAAATCTGTCATTCTATAAGAACACATACCCAAAATGAATATTCCATATATCATTTACTCATCCTCATCTTGTCTCAAACCTTTATGACTTTGTTTCTTCCGTGGAACACAAAAGGAGATATTCAGAAGAATGTTCATGCTGCTCTTTTCCATACATTGAACGTGAATGGTGACAGATGCTGTCAAGCTCCAATAGTGTAGTTATTGTTAACTAAAACTAAGCATAAACAAATCGTTTATGGTAATTGAAATAAAGCTCGAATAAAAATATATTATGATATTAAAATAAATAAAATATATTACATAAAACATTTAAACTTGAAAATTAGAAATGATAATTGCAGCTAATGAAATAAATAAAATTAAATACGTTTTTGAAATACTAAAATTACTAAAACTAGTAAATAGTAATACTAAAAATAAAATAAAGCTAAATAGAAATATTTAAACACTAATAAAAATGGCAAAACCACAACAAAAATACAAAAAAATAAGTAACTTTTTGTGTTCAGAGCTTGAGAGTATGTGCCAACATTCAGTTTCATTGTATTGATAAGAGCAATGTTAACGTGTTCCAAGAAAGAAAGAAAGACAGAAAGAAAGGAAGGTCATGAGTAAATTATGACAGTTTTCATTTTTGTGTGAACTATCCATTGTAATGTAGTTTTGTTTGTACTAATTTCAGACATATTGATCGAAACTCTTCTAAATCTTCCATCTAGCAGTTTCTAGAGAAAAAGAGACTTTTGAAAGTTGTTATTTAAGACATGCCTCTGAATTGTTCTCATCCCAGGGAGGACGGGTCAGCAGCTGACACAGAGGGCATGGCGTTAGTTTTTACAGAGCCTGTGTCTGAACTGGATGCGGGATTGTACATATGCCACGTCACGCACCACCACCACACGGCTAATGTTTTCATTCGGGTGGATGTAACTAGTGAAGAGACTCAACACAGTGAGTTTTCCACATATCAGTACTGGTAGAATATAGAAGTGTGGTGAATTGGTTTGTAATGAATGTTTGTTTTCCACAGTGATATTCATCATTATTTGCTTCTCATCAGCTGCTGCAATCACCCTCATCTTGATTATCGTTTTGGTTGTCCTCTGGTGAGTAGACTCGCTTTCTAACAAACTTAGGTTGTTAGATTCTGCTGTTTTCTTTTTGGATATTACCATACAGGTGAGATCGGTGGAGGCAAACAGGAAGCAAGGTAGCTTACCTAGACCAATGACATGCATCGTGTTCATAAACAGGATACATGGTGGCTGGCACAGAACAAGACCGCATCTACCACATTTGTGCTTTCACGCGACATAAACAGATTCATGTTCATGTCTCAGCAGCGGAGAATGATGTCAATTTAAATTGCAAACGTATCTGTGGCTTTCATTTTTAAAAAATAATAATAAACTTGACATGTAAATTTCCTATTGTTATTTCTTTCTAGTAAAAGTGGGAGAAGTCACTCGTCACAAAAGGTAGACAAAGTGTTATATAATCATTTCAACATTTTGTCCAATAAATATCAATGGCTCATTTTTTATTTATTTTTCTCCAAAAGAAAAACAGGACAGAGCGTGAGTCTCTAGCGGCTCTAATGCAGGATTCTCGCTGCCCAGAGAAGAAGGTGATTCCAGGCACGGCTGGGCCGCACTATGCTGAGCTTGTGCACTATTCCATTGTTTTTGATGCTAAAAGCACAGTGTGACACAGCTGTTGGGTTTTACGACTGTAATATATCAGTTTTTGCACATACTTGTGGAGTTTGTGGCAGCTTGAGTGCATGCTTTTGAAAAGGGGAAATGCTTAAGAAATTCATTCATTGTTAATCAGACTGTTATGCTGATGATGCAATTTGTAATGAAAAAAACAAAAAAGAAAATGGAAATTTGCTTCAAGTTTTCTCTACCCAGCCCATCCAAGATTTAAATTAGTTTTTTTCTTTATCAGAACAGATTTGGAGAAATTTATTGCGTTAGTTGGCATTGCGTTAGTTGCTCACCAGTGGATCCTCTGCAGTGAATGGGTGCCGTCGGAATGAGAGTCCAAACAGCTGATAAAAACATCACAATAATTCACAAGTAATCTGACTCCAGTCTATCAATTAACATCTTGTGAATTGAAAATCTGTGTTTGTAATAAACACATCTATCAGGTTTCTCCAAAACTTCTCTAAATCCATTCCAATGAAGAAACAACTCGTATACAGTAGTCAACATTTGAAGTGGATCAAAACCTTTCATCAAAGTTGTCCTAAAACCAAAATGTGTTCTTGTCTTAGGACAACTTTGATGAACTTTTTTGATCCACTTCAAATGTTGACTACTGTACATCTTGAATGGCCTACGAATGAGTAAATCTTATGCAAATGTTTATTTCTGGATGAACTATTCATTTAATATGAATATTTCATTAGTGGTCTCAGGGTTTTGGACCCAACTGTATATACACATTTTTGATATGTAGTTGTTCTTTTTCCTCAACTACAAATACCGATTGTAAGGAAAAGATTGAAGTAGCTTGGTATTACTTTGAGCATTATGATTTACTTCGATAAGTAGCATTGTTTTATAAATATTATGAGCACATTTTTATTGTTTTACTACTTTTTAAGATTGTTGCTTTGTTCTGACTTACACAGAGATATACTTTAAAAGTCTGGTTGGTGTGTTCTATCTTGTTTTCGTTCCAATTGTACTTGTAGCTCACAAACTGACTGAATTTGTAGCGCCCTCTGGTGGCCCTGCAGTATATAGTGGGATTATCCACATCTGGGCCTGTAGAGTCCAAGTCTGATATTTTGGTTATAAGATTTTACTCCCTTCACAGTCTCTGTTTGAATGACGACTGGTCTTCCTTTGTGTTGCTGTAAGATGTAAGATTTCCAGGGTAAATAATGTCACGGTGACACTTGTAAAAATACAATAAAATACTTGACAAGTTTAAATACTTATCGAGTCTGTTTGTTTATCAGGTAAAAAATATTCTTCCAATCATAAGACGATATATGACAAATAGTTTTCACAAAGGACAAAATTCTTTGAATATCACATTATAAAATGTACTTTCCTATTACACTGATTTACAAAACATACAATGTTAAGAAGAGATTTGACCCTTGAGTTAAACTGAATTATTGCTCAAACCTTTCATACACAGTCCATACATAAAGAAGCAAAAAATTTACTTTATGTACATTTATCGTTTCTTGTACAGACAAGGTTTAAGTTGAAGACCGACTTTCTTCACGTTCCCAGGTGCTTTTCCTGTCTTTATGAATTCAAAGGAGTAGAAGTGGCTGTTTTCTGTGTCCTAGAAAAAAATAGATGAACATAAATAGCTTGTAAACAGCTCTTTTCTTTAAGAGTCAATATCACTGTATGTTGCCTTTTGGCGTCCTGTACATAAATAACTAATTTGCCATGATAACTTAACATAAAAATGACTCTGAAAGGGTGTGTTATATTAGGCTAAGTTTTTATATTCATAACAAAAGCATTACTTGGCTCTATAGATAAATTTTCTAGATTTGTTTTAGTTTTGTGTAAGAGGATGCGTGTTGTTTTGCTATCTTCCATGCACTGCTCATTAAATTTGAATGATAGTAGAATATTGTCAAATCATAAAATTAAAAAATGTTGTTCTCCTATTAATATTTTGTTAAATAAGAGATTACTCAATTTGAGTGTATTGATCATTTGGAAATAAAAACAATATATTTATTTAATAAAAAAAGAAGAGTTTGTCCATGTCCCTTGAATGGTTGTCCACCCTGTCGTATTGGGGAATCCGCCCCTTTAAGAAAAGGCAATCCACTTTAGTGACATCAGGACAACAGATTTTTTTGTCTCTTCAGTGGTGGGAATTTCAACGGTTGAGATGAGTAAATTGGTGACTTTTCAATTGACAAATTTTCTTCGCCTGAGTTTTCTTACTTGCTTTGCCAAAGCTTAACATGTCCACCCTATCGGCATAAAACATGCCAGAAGTGATTAGAATACAGTATTTTCAAAATATGTACGTTTAAAAATTCTCTTCAACAACCAGACTAAAAATTTAGCTAGTCACAGTTAATTTATAGTTAATATTGCTAAAAACTCAAATGAACACATATCTATGTGACTGAGGCTGTACTTTTATTATTTATTACGGTATTATTATATTATTTTTTTCGAAGTTGAATAAATGTTTCATTGTCATATTTTGTCATGCTTTGTGCGTTTTGCATTATGTGTCCACCCCGTCATGTGCTGGTCCACCCTGTCATCTTGATATATTACAATAATATTTTAAATAATAATTGAATCATATCTATATAATCCAGTGCGTTCAATAGCTAGGTGTGGGGGCAATAACATGCAAACAAAAAACTGCATCCAAATATCACAGTTTTCTCCAAATAATAAAAAAATGAATGTGCACATTTTTAAAAACACATGCTTTACATAAATTTTTTTTATGTATTTATAATTTGAAAGCAAACAAATAACCGTGTTTAGGAAAGGGACATCATACCTTTCAGAAAATATAATTTGCATCTTAATATTGCAATGAAAACGTATTTAACAGTAATATATATGTCCATGACTGGGTGGACATATGGTTTATGCTTCGAATAATGGCCCATAATTATCTAAAAAAATGTGTGGGAGCTCAGCGAATATGTTTCTATAGTATTTGAGTGTCTACTATTTATGACATGACATAAAGCGAATGGGAAATTAAAACCAAAAGTTTTGAGTATTGTGAGGGTTAAAAGGCACTCTATGGTGATATTGACCCTTAAATAGTAAATTAAACTACATTTTGATTACTAAATTATGACCTATTTTACTGAAAAACTGAGAATGAAGAACATTATGTTAGTGCTGTTAATATATTCCATTACTGATCTCCATACTTGCAGAACAGCACAATTCTATTCTGCAATACTGCGCACTTGGCCTGACTTTCCATCTCTCCAGTACAGCATTAGACCTGCAACTAACAATCATTTATGATAATTAAGGAGGAGATTATTCTAATGATTTAATAGATTTTTGACAGCAGTCCTCTATTACTTGCATGTTTGTCAGTTTTTAACAGCAAGTCTGCAGAAAATGTTTCAGTGAGTTTTGCACAATCATCTAAAGAATAAAGTATGATCAACTCCAAAATATCAGTTTTCCCATTATTATTAGCCTCATTTTCTGCTCCGCACCAGGGCTATTTTAGTATTATTTATGTACTGTTATAGTATTTATTCATATTTTGAATGAGCTTATATTTTGAGTTTTCAAAAGCAATGACAAGAACTGCATATTCTGAGATAAAAAAAAGGGGGGGGAATGTATGATTAGGCTGACATTTAGAAGCTGCTTGTATCCAAAGGAAGTACAGGAGATGAATATCCTGGTGTAAAAAGCATAAAACCTGATCCTGGAGTAAGTAAAATGGCCTGGTGAATCATATTTTACCGTTTTCTCTATGCTACAGGGTGCCTTCAGTAGTGTGCTGGACAGTGTAATGGTCTGTCTCATGAGAGTTATTAAGCAAAAAAGAAATATGAGGCAATTTCACAGGACCAGGTGAATGTTAAGCTGGAAACATGTTTTTTAAAGCTCACCAAGGCTGGATTTATTTGATGAAAAATAGAGTAAAACCATAATATTATGATATATTATTTAAATAACTGGTTTCTATTATAATACATTTATTCATTTTATTTCTGTGATGGCAAAGCTGAATTTCTAGCATCATTACTCCAGTCTTCAGTGTCACATGATCGTTCAGAAACCATTCTAATATGCTGATTTGCTGAAACATTTATTATCAATGTTGAAAACAGTTGTACTGCTTTTTTTTTTTTTTTTTGAGGAAAGAACAGCTAAGATTAAAAATGTCTTCACTGTCACTTTTGATATATCTAATGCATCCTTGTTGAATAAAATAATTAATTTCTTTAAAAAATCTAAACATTTGAATGGTAGTGTATGTTCACTGGAATGAATTGCACATTACCTTATGGACTAACTTGAAGCCCAGACTTGACAATGCACTAATGAACAAATGCTCATTTTCAAATCTGCTGGCCACTTCAGCAATTTTAAGAACACCCCTGCAAAAAAAATTAATAAATAAATGGAAAGAGGATATATATTGGCTAATCACTAGACTTGGATTTGATAATAAACTTTTAAAATATTGGCAACTGTTCAAAAAAAGAAAAAAGAAAAAAGGCAGTTACCCCATCACCAGGACTCTGTTTGCTTCTGCCAAGAAGTCTCCCAGATTTGTCCCCATCAGAGAAAGACAGAAAACAGCAATATCTACAGTAGAATCACGAAGCGGCACCTGTGGAAAAAGTAATAAACAGTGCTGCTTTTAGTCTTTCGGCTGCATTACAAATGAAAGCTTTTTTACTACAATAACTTACTTTTGCCATGTCACATGCAGTGGCAAGATCACAAACCGGAGCCAAATCAAAAGAATGTACTTTATTCTTTACACTCCGAGCTATTTTACAGTCTCCACAGCCGAAGTCAGCAACAACTAAAGAAGCTGGTCTGGGGGGGGAAAAAAGGAAATAGAAATTCATTGACTTTCAGTGCCTTCCAAAAATGCTGTATTTCTGTAGTTCATTCATGGAAGATTATTCTGTGCATGAACACTGTGATTTAATAAAGACAAGCCAGTTAATTTGTTAATTGTTCTGAATGTCTTTAAAACAATTAACAAATTAAACTGTAGTTCAGGAAACTACAGCCATGTCAAAACAGCATACCAAGGAAAATTATTATTATTATTATTATTATTATATAATTTATTATTATTGATCATTTATTAGTAGTAGTAGTAGTAGTGTTGTTATTATTATTATTATTATTATTATGCCAAATAACTTTATCAGGTCTTTTTAAAATAAATAAAGATAATAAAAAAATAAAATAAAAAAAAAGCATGTTGCAATAATTTTTTTAATAAATACATACATAAAGTTAAAAGCAATATGCAACGTGTGCTTGCATACCCACAAAAAAAAAAAAACTAACAACACAAAAACACTGCATAAAGGAATCAGCAAAAGGAAGGACATCTCACTTTTTACAAATATAGGAAATGATTGAATCCACAGGGTTTGTAGGCCAGTGCTGAACTTGTGCCGTGTAGCCCTTGTGGTAAATTGCAATGGCCTCTGGGTCCTGCTGAAACATGCGGTTGGCCTCACCGCTGGTCGACGTGTAAAGCTGCTCATTGATGTAGCGGAATCGAGCGGCTTCTAACCGCTTCTCCATCTTTGCCCTTAAAGCAGTCGAGGGGTCAGGAGCCGCTTGCTCTTCATCGCCTTTCAAACTTACTGTTGTACCATTGGGTTCTTCTAGTTCCTCTGAGGCTTTATTACGGTCATCAGGAAAATGCGACTTTAAAATGCGACGCAATTTTTCTTTCTTCCACTTTTCTTCTTCCAGTTTCCCTTTATCTTCCACTTTATGCGAGACTGTATTGTTATCTGCTATTCTAGTTCCCGTGCTAGGCATTTCATCTGTTTTAGAGTCTATGCAATTTTGAGCATTGTCCGTGATGGAAGAAATACCATTCTTTTTATGAGCTTTCTTCGTTTTTTTGGATGCCTTGTCATGTTTCTTCACTTTCTTGGATTCTTTGACATCCTGTGTTTGAACTAATGGTTCCTCGTTTGCAATGGCATCACCAACACCTGTCGTTTTTGGAACATATTTGTTCTTGCACCTTCTTTTGTTTTTCATCTTGTTCTTCCACTGCTTTCTGCTTAGCTTGTTTTCTGCTTGACTTTCATTTTTCTCCAATTGAGGTCCGACTCCTTTGTCAATCTTATCTTTTCTGGACTCGTGTGACACTTTAGAATCTGCAAACACAAATTGATGTGAAAAAGTCAATAATGTTTAAGAGTGTAGACCTAAAATGACTAGAACATGTTCTCACTTGTTTCTTTAACGGTCTTCTTTACTGGCTTCTTCTTCTTATTCACAGGTGGTTCAGATGAATCCCCTTTATCCTGCTGCTTCCCTTCATTTTCAGCATTAGACGTTCTTTTACGCTTTTTGCACCTTTTCTTTTTTGCCGTCTTGACTGTAGTGGAGGCATCTTTCTCCTCTTCACTATCCTCAAAAACATTCCCAGCTCCCCAGTCTGGAACTGAACCCAATGTTTGCAAGGTTCTCAAAAGACTTTGTTTACACACAACCTTATCCTGATGGGATAAAAATGCTAGATGAAAAATTAAATTCATGTGGCAGAACTACACTTAAATAAGGGGGAAGACATCATAATACCTTGCCAGAGGCAGGAGACATCTTAACAGTGTGAGATGATCCATCTGGTAATGGAGAATCAGTCCATTCCTCTTCAGCAAACATGTTTGTAAACGCTGTTAATTTTGGATAAACACTGTAAACCGTCACAATGAGTTATACGAAAAGAATTTGCCAGCTAACTATTATGTGCTTGCATATCTTGTCAGATGATAATTGATCATAGTGCTGGCAGAAATTATTGTTGACATCCAGAAACCTATAACAGTATCCTGCAACGCATTTCAAATTAATTTACAGCGTACTTACATCTTTCTCTGTCTTCTACACGTGCAAAGAACCGTCACGTGGTTTTGTGTACATCCGGGTTACCGTGACAACTTCCTTTCCAAACTACTCGGATGTTGGGTCCTCCAAATGCGCTCAATCTTTATTCAAATATTTATTTGAATAAAGCTCATTTATTAAGCTCAAATATTTATTACATTGTGAAAGACAAATGGTCCATTAAATGAAAATCATGACCGTTTTAACACTTAGCACTTCAAACATTTACACAGAAACTGCATAGCTAAATATTTCAAAAGTGCATCTGAAGAGAGAAATGGAGGACTATTGGTGTTACATTTTCTTATTAAAAATCGGATGATAGTAAAACGGTAACACTTACTGAATAGTATCATTTGTTAACATTAGTGAAAGTATGAACTAACTTGAACTAACAATGAACAATACATTTGTAACAGTATTTAATATTTTTGTTAATGTTAGTTATGGAAAATTAACCTTATTTTAAATTGTTTCCAGTGAAACTATAAAAAAAATATATAGGTGCTGCTAAGTCACATTATAAATTAAACACAAACAGCAAGAATAATTACATCTGGTATTCCTGCACAAAACTAATACAGTTTTGTTTGAACACTTCTCTAGCATACAGTAACGTTACTGTTTAATCTTAAAAATAAATCTGAAGTGTTTAATTTCCAGTAGGCAGTAATGTTCTACTAAACTATAGCCCTTTCTAACGTTACCACGAATTAAACTGATACATACATCTTTAAGTGAGTTTTACATAAAATGTTGCTATTTTTAATAAGCCCAGTTATATACTAACTAAATTAGCCAATTCAAATTAAAAATACCATAAATACCCAAATACTACACAACTACTGTATAGCGTAAAAATATTATCAAAACGTATTATCATGTGACACGAGAAATCTGGGATCTCTGGAACTCCAGACATTGTTATTACCCTTTTTTAAACTTTCTAGACTAGGCCAGCACAAAGTTTGTTCGCAAACTTTTATCTCATATAGTTTATTTATATGATCATCATTCATTACATCACATTACCTCTGTCTTTGCCTTTCTTCTTCTTCTCTTCTTTCCCTCTAGTTCTGATTAAGTATTAACCCATCCTACCCTGTCAAATATAATTTGGAAATTTCTAAGGCCTCTAAAATCACAACTTAGCTGAAAAACTTGATGTTTACATGCCTTCTGCCATCTGATAGTTTATGCTTTTTAGCAAGTAAAAGGCCTTTTGGTATTTATGTACAAACGTCCCACTTTAGGTTGTGGTTAACCTTTTTTTCTTTACAGATTTTTATGAAATAAATGTAAGAATAACTTTTATATTGTTAGTAATATTCTAAGATGAATACTTAATGGACTGAAGCAACTTAGATTTACTTGATTATCCATAAATTTTTTTGTTCATATGAATATCAAATATGATACATCAGGGCAGGCTCTCTTGACATCTCTTAAAGCATTATTGTATTGCATGTATATGTTAGATTCAAATAATAAACTTAAATAATAATTAATTTGTCAAAAAAATGTGTTATTGCATCCATCATATTTCAAGCAGATTGTGTAGCCTCGATTCTCAGAAAAAGTTTATAACATAGTTCGCAGCGCCACAAATGTTCCTCTAGATGGCGCCATTTGCTTTCATTTCAACCACGTTGACTCCGTCGTGGAGCGTTTGACCAAAGACTTTGGTTTGACCTTCCACTCAAATCTAAAAATGCAATTTATCAGATTCTGACTACATTAGTTGTATTACTTATTGTGAGAAATCAAAATTTGACAACCTATACAAGCTGAACTAGACCAATATGATTCCTGAACGAATGACTACATTCTCAAATATTCAAATAATGAAGTTATTGCTTTCGTCATGCACGATACTAATATTAGCTACTAATATAGTAGCTTACGCGCTTATGATATTTAAAATAGTTACAGGCCGGTTGTTCGCGTGACAGCATGTTATGATTATGACAGTTATTTTTAGGGATATTTTATGTAAAAAAATAAATGATGTATATAATATAGCCTATAGTTTCGACCAAAGTCCTTCTACACAAAAAAAGACATATGTGGACTACAGAATTAAATGGTTATTTTGATTTTGATCATTGGACCCTATTGGCTTAAGTTTGTCAGTTATTTAAGTAAGTTATAATTATCATCAAGCTATAAAGCGGTGCAATTATGCTCCTGTTACTTTTCTCAGCGCTGGTCAGGATGAGCCAATCGGCTCTGCGTCTTCTAGCGCCCTCTGTGGGAAGACGACATTTTTGTCTCATAACCACTAACCGCTAGCTAGCAGCGTTTGCTGGATAGCTTCTAGCGGAAGTGGAAGTGGTCGAGTTTCATATCAACAATGGCGTCGCAGCAGATGGTTAACAGTGCTCAGATGGGCGTTCAGCAAGCGGCTGGTTTACAGCAACCTCAATCTCAACAACAGCAGCAGCAGCAGCAGCTCAGTCAACAACAAGATTTTGATCCCGTTCACAGATTCAAAATGCTGATTCCTCTGCTCAAAGATAGTTTACAGGTTTGTTTTGGTGCCTTTCATTGAACATGGGAGCTGAAAGTAACGTTACGGGTTTGAAATAGAATACTAACATTAGTTTATAATTGTATGTTTTCAGAACGTAATGGCCATTGCTTCACTAAATTTTGGACACAATGCAGCTATTGACAACGGCTTAAAAACAACAGAGTAAGATTCCCCTATTATGTAACTAACATGGTACATGAATATGTAATTAGCACATATATGTATGCATGCTGTATGTATGTACATGTCTGTCTGTTCTGTCTATTAATGTACATAAATATATGGAAGCCTGTTTTTGCCACAGAAAAAAAAATCAGATAATTGCAGACTTTTTAATCTCACAATTCTGACTCTTTTCTTGCAATTCTGAGGGGACAAAATAGGCAGAATTCTGAGCTTTTCTCGCAATTCTGACATTATATCTCACAGTTCAGATTTTTTCTCAAAATTCTAAGTTTAAATGTCACAATTCTGTTTTTATTTCCTCCACTGAATGAAAAATAAAAATGTAATTGTGACGTTTTTTCTCACAATTCATACTTTTCTTCTCAGAATTGTGAGCTATAAACTCAGAATTGCAAGAACAATAGTTTGAATTGTGAGATAAAATGTCTAAATTTTAATACTGTGGCAGAAATAAGCTTCAATAGAAAGATTTCTGGATGCTTAAACCAAGAAATAAACTTAAAAATATATATATTTCACCTCTCAAAATGTAGGAAGGGTAATGATGCAGCAGTTCAGCGATTTGACAAAAGTTTAGAGGAGTTTTATGCTCTCTGTGATCAACTGGAGCTTTGCCTGGTAAGCACCTGCTGTGATTCTGGTAAAAATGTCATTCAAAGATCTTGTTTGATTTCGATTAACATTGACGTTTTATTTTTTCAGCGGCTGGCCCACGAGTGCCTGTCGCAGAGCATCGACAGCACAAAGCACTCTCCAAATCTCGTACCTACAGCCACCAAGCCGGACACAGTGCAAACAGAGTCTCTGTTTTACTCTCAGTATCTCAGTATGATAAAATCACAGATTTCATGTGCTAAAGACATTCATAATGCTCTCTTCGAATGTTCAAAAAAGATTGCTGGGAAGGTTCAAGGAGCTTGTAATTAGTAGCTGCCAACTGTATTTAGTTTGCTTTTTTTATTTGTATTTTACATAGCTTTGATGCTGATTGAAGAATGTATTTTTTTTTTTGTATTTTCAATTCCTTTTGTTTGTTTACTATTGTGACAAATGTACTTGTACAATTAAATTGATATATTCTTGAAAATAAATTTGTGTGTGTGTTATAAAATACTTTTTTGATCTAACAAGCTACTTATGGGTCCTGTCAACTCAATTGCAAAAAATATTTTAGTATTATTATTTATATACTATGGTTAATTAATATGATTCAGTACTATGTATTCATATTTATAATTAGCTTTTATTTTATTTTATTTTTTGTTGTAATTTTATGTCCTGCCATTTTTATTCGTTTTTTTATATTCTGTTTAGCTTTAAACTACATTTTATTTCAATTTTTGTTGTAGTATTTAGCATTTCAACTTTTATTTTATTTCAGTCATATCTAAGTTTTACTTTTTTTTATCCAATAATTATATTTAATTTCAGCTTTATTTGAATTGACAAAAATTATTTTGAATGATTTACATTTCAGCATTAACCACACTCTTTTGTGGGTCAGCACTTTTACTGTACTCCATACATGCTTCTCTTTTAAGTTCTGTAAAATCTGCATTTTTTTTCTCCAATAAATATGTGAATAGAGATCATTTGATACCAACTTACTTTTGAGTGGATTGTACAATTCAATAGATCACTTATCACGAAGCAGCCTCTTTTCATTGATGACCTGCACTCTTAAGGGCTCACTAAAAATGGGAAGAAAACGAGTATAATCTGTATAATAAGAAATCCTGGGATTACGATTACAACATTTTTGTTTACCAGTTTGTTGTATCAATTGGTTCCCTTGTAATTTCATATCTTTCCTTGAGAGGCGCTAGAAACCCCTCGCACTACTTGTCAAAGCAAAGAGAAGAAGTCGTTCCGGGCTCTGATTGGTCGAGCCGTTGCTCAGTGGTATTATGTTTGTTAATGCAACTGTCAACAAAGTATGATACCTTTGATTCATTAATAATATTATTTAGTACACTCTCGATGTGAGGAATGAAGAATAAAAAGGTGAAACCCTCAAAGGGTGTAAGCAACAGAAAAAGAGGTAAGTTACATTTGTTTGGAGGTTGTATTTGTCGCAAATCCGAGAGTCTTTTAAAGAGATTTAAAATCTCGTAACCTTTGCGAGGGCAAAACCTGCTTCTAAATAGTAATCTACCTACCTAAAGCATTTGAGGGCTCACTGCATTTTGAGACAGCCGAAGCGAAGACTAATGTTAAATTGTTGCTGGCTGCGCGTGGATTATTAGGTGAAAAAAAATAAACAGCTGTATTCCAAGTATTGAAAGTTAGGAAACGCTGTTTGGTCTCATGTCTTTCTTATTGTCCACATTCTGCAGTGCTCAGTGATGTGTCTACATCCACCAGCATTCCTCCTCTGGTGGAGGGTCAGCTGAGATGTTTTCTGAGAGTGACAGTGAGTAAAGTGCTGTGGACCATCACCAGACCTCCTCCTGTGACTCTGATCAGGCTCAGATGGTGGGGAGAGTCTTCCAGTGGCACCTTCTTCAGGCCTAGAGATGGACATGTTGAACAGAAAGGGGTCAAATCGACTGCCCGTTTTCCAGTTCGATGTGGACCCAAACAGCTGACTTCTTATTTGACAGGTTAGATCGCTATATAGTTGATGGCTGATTATTGGCAATTCCTTTTTAGAGAGGCATATTTAACCTTCCATACTGTCCGTATGGATTTCAGGGTTTCAGTGGGTCTTAAAAAGCCTTACTTTTGTCTTTGTTGAACCTGCAGAAGTCCTAAATGTATTCATGTGTTGCATAACTGAATATAATATTTCTTTGTTCACAGATATGGGCTCATTGGTGCTGGATGTGCTTACAAAGGTTGATCATTTGCCTATAGCTCGAGCTCAAATCCCTGGGATCGCCCGGCTTTCTTTGTCTCACTCCATAAATGGATATTTCACTCTTGTTTCCCCGTCATCAGAAAAACTTGGAGAGCTACAGGTGGGTGAGATGCTCAGCAGAATTCACATTTATTCAGCTGATCAAATTTACTGTGAATATGTTTTTTTTTTTCTTCTCAGGTTTTAGGTTCACAGTTTAACTGTATTCTGTTCATTTTGACCCAGAGAGGAATTTCTTTTTTCTTTTTCTTTCTTTTTTTTTTGAAAAACTTAATGTTATCGCATTGGAATCAGACTTACTGCACACAGGGTGTAGCAATTTCCCAAAAATAACTGTATAATTTTTGTACTTTTTTCAGTATTTTTTCCCCCACCTTTTTACATGGTGTTCCCAGTCAAAAACAAAATTGCCTGCAAAAACGTGCTTATAAATCACTCATAATGCTATATTCTAACCAAATATTGTATTCAATCTCTTTGTCATCTTGTTTTCTTTCAATTAGCGCTGTGTTTTGTATTTCGTTTTGGAACTGAGTGATCATAGGACTTATTTATCTGAGCTAATGCACCTCCGTTTGTGAGAGAACATTGCCGTAATTATCCACAAATATTTTTTTTCCCCACTCAAAAACTGAGGTACATAAGTTCTGGGAATTTAGACTGGGAACACCAAATTAGATAAAGGATTTTGAGCACAACACAAGGGTTAATTATGTGTTGTTTCACATGTACCGTAGGTCACACTTGCCCTAGAAGCGTTAACAGAGGGATATGACAGCAGTAGTTCAGTACCCACGACTGATATGAGCCTCGACGCACAGGCTCCTGGAGTAACAACTGACCAGAACATGCCTGCACATTCATCCATGGATCAGGCTCTCCCGAGTGTGAAGGAGACAGCTGGCAGCAGCTCTGGCCACATGCCTAGGTTTCTTTTATATTTTGGATGGTTTGAATGTTGAATGAGTAATGTGAAACAAACTGTCATTAGAGCATTAATTTCACAACACTCATCCTTATGACTGATCTTGAAAATTAGTTGCAGACTTGACTGTGGTCTATGAACAGACAAGTTAAATTAAAATACTAACGATTTTGGATAAAATAGGTGAAAAATGTTTTAAGTAGTTCTATGTTCGTAGTTCTTCCCTAGTGTTATTTTAGTATTATTTATATAATATATATATATTTTTTTCTATTCATTATTAACTATGTTATTACCTTTCTAATATTATTATTTTTATATTAATATCTCCTTAATAATAATAATAGTTGTTTTTATTATTATTATTATTATATGCTATTTATTAATAATATTTCTTAATGTTTAAATTAACTTATGTTTTCAGTTTTCATTTTAATTTTAGTTTAAGTGAAGTTATGTGCTTATGTCATCTGTATTTTTTCAATATTTGTATTTAGCTTTACTTCATTTTAAACCATTTTTAATTGTAGTAATTTTAGTACTGTAACTTAAAGTTAATTTCTTTTAGTTTCAATTTTTTAAGTTCTAAGATTTTTCATTTTAATTCAATAAACATTAATAATAAAACATTGTTTTTGTCCAATAATCTTGTTTTAGAGGGAAGGATTACTTGTATTTTCAAGAAAACAATAACATCAAACCAGATTCTTCTACTGGAAAACCTAAACCTGCTACCACCCAAACTCTTTCAGCAAATAGCCACGCACCTGTTGACCTTTTGTCAGGTAAACCTCATTAACTTGATTTACTGAATTCATTATATTGACTTCACTGTTGAACACAGCAACATTTTGGCTGAAATACTTTGTGTCATAGAAGATTTTTTAAGAACTGGTCAAATTAAAGAACTGTCTGTCAATCACAATCTAAATATTGCCAAATTCTGCTGATTGATCTTGAGTTCTTTTTAAACTTCAGTTAATTCTGTCAGTTTTAAAACCTTATATTGTGTCAGTACAGCACTATAGAGCCCTGCATTTCAGCCCGGGCCTGACGGGCCCCGATTTTTTTTTACGCCCCTAGGGCCGGGCTTCTGGCCAATTTTCACGTCATAATTCAGACGCGGGCCGGGCCTCGGGCCTGTTTTAGGCTTCTCCATATATTTCTATTTTAGACATCCATCAATTAGTGACAAAAAAAATTTGCCGCGCTGGTGGAAACAACACGAGACCGTGCTACCACGACTGTCAAGAGCTGCTCGGACGGTGTTTACTGTTTAGTGTTCTGCAGCAACAGCGAGCGTGCCGACAGCGCAGCTGAAGAGTTCTGCGTTCAAATGCACGCAATAGGCTAAAGCTTGCCGCAAAGCACCAGCAAAAGTAATTACCATGAATGTGTCAGGGGGAAATAGTAAGGAGATGCTTGAATTATTTACTAATAAACTAGTGTTTTCTGAGTCCGTATGAAGGATGAAGTTGCCAATCCTGACTCGCCATCTCCTCATTAGACGCACCTTTAGAGAGAAGTGCATCTTTACGGATTATGATTATAATGAAAGAGTTTTCAATTTGTTTTATTTTGTTAAGTAGAAATTTAAAGGTTTCTATAGATATAGTTGTCATGTCTGTGAGGCATGTATTCGCTGAGTTTGGGTTCATTTTTGTGAAGCGCTCCTGTTCAAGACCGAGACGGCAGAAAGCGCATTGTGTGTTTTCTTTATTTTATAAAAGCACAACGTTTTGTTGATATTGTGAGTGCACACAAATAAAAGTAGAACCTTTACAGTTCCGAATGATGTATTACCCTTACCTTTATGAGCAAAAATGACGGCGTATTTTAAGTTGTTTGCAGTGAAAATAAATGCAAGTGATCGCGCTGGCGCCTCCATGTCCTGCAAAGCGCACTTTAGCTTCCACTCTCCGCACAAACGCTTGGATATGCGTCTAACTGCGCACATTTATCTAGGTTTAACGTTTAAACATTGTTATATGCTTGAACTGTTTTATATCTATAGATTTTATTTTAGGCAAGTCTGGCCGCTTGGTCGTTACTTTAAAAAACAAAATTTAACGAACAAAAAATGCTCCAAACGTTTTTCTAAATTAACTTAAAAAAAAAAACGAAATGAAATATAATCACTTTGCCATTACATACAAAAGTGAACTATTTTAATAGCTGAAACAGTAGTATAAGGGGGGGGGGAGACGGGCTCGGGCCGGTAATTCTGATAAGCTGTCGGACACGGGCCAGGCTAGGGCCTAAATTTGAGGCCAGTGCAGGGCTCTACAGCACTATACAAATTACACATTTTTCGTCAGAGATGGTTGAGGCCATTGTGGAAGTTCTGTTGGCAGATCTGTTGACAAAAAGACCAGACAGCTCTTTACACTCATGTAACACTATTTAGTGATGCATATGCCGAGTGTTTATTTATTCTTTACTTGTTGTCCATTATATAGTTTACTTATTTTTATTATATATTACTTGTGTTTTTTGTATTTTTCCAGTTCTTCTGGAGCGTGGCAGCAAACTGAGAAATGCCATGGTGGTTTCAGCCTTAAAATCTGATGTGGAGCCAGATGTTCCTCTGAAGGACATTCCCCTGCCTCTCTCCAAAGACAACACTGATGTCTTGTATGAACTCTACTTATTCTTACTCATACATATGAGGGGTCAAAATAGACAGATAAAATGGCAGAATGTTGATGATTATAAATAGTGTTAAACATCATCTTCCTCCTAAAGGCCAGCCAGGCCCTCGTCAGGACAGTTTCTGGAGAACATCCTTCAAGCAGAACACCAACATCCTGTTCACTACCTTGAAGAGCCAAGTCAGAATAGAGTCAACCCAGAGGACATGGCTGTGGATTTGCTGCTGGGAAGGTAGTCAGGGCTACTGATTAAGTGACGAAAATGGAACTTTGCTCATAAATACTTGATGGAAATGTGTGAAACTTTTAGAGTGAGAAGAATTATTTTGTCTGTGTTTGCAAACTATATGCTTTAATGTTTGTAATGGCTCTGTTCCTCAGTGTTAATGGATCTGTGCTGCAGTTCTGGGATGGAGAGGGTTCTTTCCCAGATTCTCTTTCTGATCATAGTAGTGTGCTCATGGACAGTGAGCTCAACGACCCTCAATATGATCAGAGTCTTCTGGAGAACCTCTTCTACAAAGCTCCTGTAAGTCATACAGTGTAACACAGCAAGCTGTTATATGTAGTTTAGTTTCCTTAAACATATAACTTCGTAAATAATTTTTTCCCTTTTTTTTTTTAGATATCAGATGAATGTTTGGAAGAGGAGCATCAAAAGAAAGATCCAGCAGAGAAGCCAGTACATACAAGACCAACTAAAAATGCCCAGTCAGTTACACTAATGCAAGAAGAAATGCTCAAAACTCATTCACTTAAGATAAATACATAAAAAATGTATTAATAAATAAATAAACATATATGTAAATGTTTTCACATATGTGTAAAGGTACAGAGAAATAAAAATAGTTTTATTTTGAAACACATTTTTTCATATCTGCTGTTGTGTAAACTGCCTTTTTTTTTTATTAATTTTTTTTTTTTTTTGAAGACTTCATTCTGAAGATGTGCAGCATTCAGAAGCAGGAGATGATTTATCTGGACTTGGCATGGATATAATAGCTTTACTTGGAGATATTAATTTTGCCAGGGTCACCATCAGTGAGTTAAAAGTTTCCACTGAGAGTATTTCAAGAAGTCTCTCTAAAAAAGGAAGACCACCTCGCCCCCTCACCACAAAGAAATGGTACCACATTTATGATATTTCACATCAGATAATATTCATAGATGATGGTGGCTAGAAGATATTGTCCTTTTCCAAAAACTAACCTGATGTAAATATTTTGTTTATCTAGCTTTTATATTGTAGAGTACCTCTTTCCACTGGTCTCTGCTGGGTTTGAGGATGTTCAACGTGTACCTTCAGAGATTACAAAAGTTGTCTCTAGTAAAGTAACAGAGGGCGGTGAGTACATTAGTTTTAGAGAACTACGAGAAACCAGAAGTAGTGTAATAATCTGGTGATTCATTTTTGTTTCAGTTGTGATGTTTCAGCACCAAAGTTTGTTTCCAGTGAGGTTCAGTAGGTCATCTATTAAACAATGGTGGGAGATGAACGTCACATTCAAGATCTACTCCAGAAATAGCCTTCAAAAGACAGTAAGTGCAGTGTGTTCCAATCACAAAATCAAACAAACCTCAGAAATCAAGGCTCTTTTGGTTTTATCTGTTAGAGTCCTGATCTTCTCATTTGTTGTTTAGCCCATTCTCATTGGATCAGCAATGTTTCCACTGAGCTCCCTGATGCAGAGTGAATCGCTGAGCATTTCTGCTGCCCTTCCTGTTCAAAGACCGGATGGAAACATTGATAAACAAGCAGTTGGTCCTCTGAAGGTAAATAATCGATCATAAGAACCAAATTTGGGAGATTTTATTGATCTAAGTGATTCATTCTTTGTCCCTTGTTTTTTTAAGGTTTCATTTGAATTAGCAGCAGACAAAAATGATTTCTCCACCAAAAAGAGACCTGCAAAACGAATGCTGAGTCCAGCAAGACCCCCTCCTTCCCGTTTGACTGAAGAGCATGATGGGCCAAAGGGTTTATGTGTGACTGACCACAGGAGACACCCGTCTCCTAGTGCAAGTGTTCATCAAGTCCAGAGTATCCTGATACCTCCAACCAGATCACGATCCACATCACCACACATCAGATACCAGAGCTCTCTGCATGAGCCTCTGCAGCAGGAAGTGGAGGAGACTGAGATTTTGCTTCATATGTTGCTCATGGTGCCTGATGGGAAAGATTTTAACTGTGCACCCATGCAGCCCAACATCTACTTGAACTGTAAGCTCCTCGGATCCGATGAAACCGCTCGATCGACAGTGAGCTGGGGTCAAAAACATCCATTGTTCGGCTTTATTCAGGTTGGTGCTAAATATAGAATCGAGGAAAGTTCACAGGCTTTACCCATATTACTCTGTGGTGGAAATCGTCAGGGTTCCCACAATACAGTTAGTTTATTATTTGTTTTTAATCTAATTTCTAATATGATACAGGTGGCTCCAGTCACACTGACCAGCAAACTGTTGGAGAGAATGAAGAACAACATGATGGTCATTGAAGTTTGGTTGAGGGCCAGTAGTTCAGACCATGATAAACTTCTTGGTTTGGTAAAACTACCTCTTCACCAGTTCTACATGTCTTTCAGGTAGATCTATCTATCTATCTATCTATCTATCTGTCTGTCTGTCTGTCAACGTAATGTATGTACACAGTATTTATATTTGTATGTTATAGCATAAATATAACATTAGTAACTCTATGTGCAGTATATTAAGTTTGTGGTATTTTTGTAGTTGCAGTATCATATTTTATTTATTATTATGCATTTCCTATTAAAATAAATATGTGAAATATGCATAGAAATAAATATTTATTGTTATAAATAAAATATTATTTCTTATATTATATAATGATAATAATGAATAGAATAATAGCAACAATATATATTAATATTAACATTATATTATATTATATTAGTAATGTATATTAATATTAGTATAAACTTTATATTAATAGTAACTTTATAATGAATTACTTTATATCAAATATATCAGTGTAGTTATCATAAAATTAATCTAAAACTAATAAAAAGTGCTTTTATTAATTGAAATAAATCTAAAATAAGATCAAATTTAAATATTATATCCATCCATTTTCCAAAATATTAGATGACATTTACATTTAGTCATTTAGCACATGCTTTTATCCAAAGCAACTTACAAATGAGGACAATGGAAGCAATCAAAATCAACAAAAGAGCAATGATACACAAGTGCTATGACAAGTCTCAGTTAGCTTAACGCAGTACACGTAGCAAGATTTTTTAAATTATGTAATAAATAAAAAGAAAACCGATAGAATAGAAAAAGAATAGAGCAAGCTAGTGTTAGAGGCCTAAAACTAATAAAAAGTGCTTTTATTAATTGAAATAAATCTAAAATAAGATCAAATTTAAATATTATATCCATCCATTTTCCAAAATATTAGATGACATTTACATTTAGTCATTTAGCACATGCTTTTATCCAAAGCAACTTACAAATGAGGACAATGGAAGCAATCAAAATCAACAAAAGAGCAATGAATGATACACGCTATGACAAGTCTCAGTTAGCTTAACGCAGTACACGTAGCAAGATTTTTTAAATTATGTAATAAATAAAAAGAAAACCGATAGAATAGAAAAAGAATAGAGCAAGCTAGTGTTAGTTTTGTTTTTTTGTGTTTTAGTTGGGATGAAAAACTGAAACAGAAAATTAAAATGAAATGTATAATATATAAATATATTTTATAAAAAAAAAAAAGACAAAAATGCATAAAAAATTACTGAAACTTAAACTAAAATTAATAAATTAAAAAAGAACATTTTAAAAATAAAAGTAAAAGTAATGAAAAACATTAATAAGTACTCTAATAGTAAATAAAAGAATAGTAAAATAACACTGGAACATGTAAGCTTAATTTTTTTTTTCTTTTTACTTTGTCTCCAGAGACCCCAAGATCACAGAGCTGCTCTTGCAGTCTCAGTATCCAGTGGTTGGAGTGGACAGTTTTATTCCTGTGGTTGATGTGTTCAGCGGCAGCACTCGTGGACACCTCAGGGTGTGTCTAGCAATGGGTCTAGCACAGCAGATCACGGCACTGCAGCGAATGAGGGATGACGAGCTGACCCACGTATCACCGCTGCTTCGACCAGCGCACATGTTAGACCACCGGCCACATGTAGAAACCAAGGCTAGTTCACTTTAAAACTCCCAAAAGCAGCACTGATGCTTAACGAATGAAGCTTAATTTGTTTTTAAATTGATGATTTTGCAGGCCAGTACCACTCTGGATGTTCTGCGTGAGCATGTCTTCATGGTCCGAGTAGAGCGAGTAAAGGGTCTGACGCCTCTGCAGTCCACAGTGTGGGGAGAAGCTGACTGTTACATCCAGTACTCCTTCCCTGCACAAAATGAGTCGAGAGAGGACACGGACCCACATGTCGTTGAGAGCAGTAAGCTGTTTTCTTGCTGACTGTATTAAAAGTCTTTTTTTTCTGTTCAGCTCAACCAACGCTCTGTTCCACAGATGTGGATCTCAAGGCCTACCGCACTGAGACCACTCTCTGTGTGCCTGACCCCGTGTTTGGACATAATGAGACTCATGTCCTGCTGGCTCCTCCTGACGTCCCAGTGCAAAGAATACTGCTGAGCTCACTGGCCAGTCAAGGGCTGAGGAACGGAGGAGGGGTGCACTTTGAGGTTTGGTGCAGGTACAGTAAATGCAGAAATTGTAGTTTAGTCCTGAATTTTATTTTACATTTTAGCATTTAAAATGTATTTCTTTTATGTGGCAATAATTTCATTTTTTTCTAATTTATTTATATATATAATTGTTTTTTTTATATATTTTAGTGCTTAGAAATGTTACCAAGTAAAATAATTTTTTATTTTTTTATTTAGTTATTTGCTTTTTACATTGAGAGCAATATTTATTTATTTTTATTCTTTTTTTACAATTTAGCATGTAAAAAGCATGTGTTTTTTGGCAATATTTTATTTATTTACATTTTAGCATTTAAAATGTGTCTTTTTTGTTTGGCAATGTTTGTTTGTTTTTACATTATAGAATTAAAAACATAATGCATCATTTTTATTATTTATTTTTTACATTTTAGCATGTAAAAACATGTTTTGGCAATATTTTATTTATTTACATTTTAGCTTTTAAAATGTTCCTTTTTTTGTTTGGCAATGTTTGTTTGTTTGTTTGTTTGTTTATTTATTTAATTTTATATAAAATAATAAAATTTATTTAATTTACATTGTAGCATTAACACTAGAACCGCCAGAGGTCGCTGTATACCTAAAAGCGCCAGCGGGTAAATTTTACCCACGCACATGACAGCTGTATTTATATGGCTAAAGAACATATTATTTCACTGTATTATGCCACTGTCTTCACAAAGAAGTGTCTAGAGTCATGCAATGATTATGTCTAGTCATCAACTATATTTTTATCCTGTTGTTATATGTTCAAGACTTTTTAATGCAGTCGACACTAATCCATAATGGTCAGTAGCCTAAGCTAAAAAAATAAAAAGCCTGCACTGACAACGGAAATTAGAAGGTAGTAGCCTAAATATTTGGGTGATGTAATATTATAATACAATGTCATTAATCAATATATTAAGATAACCCATGCTATTTAAATGACTAAAATAGCCTATAGACAATAATGAGCAATACTAATTCACCACACTGCATGGGATGATGCGATGACAAATTCAAGTGCACAGCTTCACCTAAATATTTATTAATTTGTTTAGTTATATCATTTATAATTTGAATAAGAGAACAACACCATTAAACTTTGGGTAATCAAAAAAATGGTTTTATTCATTACATCATATAGATCAGATTTTTTTTTTCTTCAGGAAACGGCCAGACTAGAATAGCAACACAGTAGCGAACAATAAACGATATGGCAAGACAAAAAATAAATAACTAAACCAAAGTTTGACCAATTAGAGTAACCTGAGGCTAAAACATGTAAATATAATATCTGGATCACTGTCAGATGAGCCGTC